AATACACCTCATGCACAGCCACCATCTGTCAGTGGAGGCTTGTGTGTTGCTGTGATGCTGAACAGGTTTCAGCAGAGCTTCCAGACTAAGACAGACTAGGAAGAAAGGCCTGGCAATCTACTTCCAAAACCCAGCCAATGAAAACCATATACATCACAATGGCCAGATCCTCAACCGATCACAGGGCTGGTGCAAGACTGAGGTGCATTTCGTTCTGCTGTGCATGGGGACACCATGAGTCGGGGGCCGGCTGGATGGAAGCCAACAACATAAACCATTCCTAGGTTTATAATGGAAACCCTGGTGGCGTAGTGGTTAAGAGCTACAGCTGCTAACCAAAAGGTTGGCAGTTTGAATCCACCAGGCGCTCCTTGGAAACCCTATGTGGCAGTTCTACTCTGTCCTATAGGATCACTATGAGTTGGAATCGACGCAATGGCAATGGGCAGGTTTATAATTTACCCCAGGTCTCGGGCACATCTGTAAGAATGCATGAAACCACTGCCTCAATATTGCAAAACCAAGGCCAAGATATGATTCCAAGGCACAGAAGTGGTGGCAGGAAGTGAGGAAGGAAGGCAGGGCAGTATCAGTCACCTGTCCTGAGTGCTGGGCTTAGAAGCCTTTGATATTTCCAATGTGACAATATTAATATCAGTGATAACGAATATGTATTAAAGATATAGTATTTACATCTTCCAACAAAGCCTTTATAATATTTTCACAAAATTTTTTTAAAAGCCTTTATAGTATTTCTCCTGTAATCTCCATATCATTATAAAGAATTACATGTAGCAAGTAACTCATTAGGAACCATTGTTGGCTGGTGTTGAAAAACTTTCAGAAGTACATTCATTCAACAAACATTTATCAAATGTCTGTCTACCACATGTTCAATTCAGGGTTCAGCACTGAGTTGTTTTGGATTATGAAAACATGATCCATGTGCTCTAGGAGCTCAGTTTAGAGAAGGTATCACAAATAGGCTTCATCTTCTGAGGCCACATCTAAGCTCTTCATGAAAGAATTGCATCATCAATTAGCAATTTCTGCCCTGGGCACTGGAATGGGAACAGGTTTCAGTGGATCTTCCAGACTAAAACAGACTAGGGAGAAGCATATCAGCCATGTATTTCATATCCCTTGAGACATACTGATGTATTTGTTCCTCTGGATAGTGGTAGTTCTTTCAGAAAGCCATATGATTTGAGCTGGTAAGTTCTTCAGTTAAGTTCAAAAAAAGGATGTCCAATGGAGTCAACTGATAAGAAGAAAAAGTCATTCAAACAAGAGATGGTAGTCTGGTGGGCTGTCCCTCTGTCCACAGGGTTCCTGCAGCAACTCTCCCCCTGAAACAGTGATAATTTCCTCCTATAAGGGGAAAAAAAGAGAAAGATTCACTTATAATCAAGAAATGGGAATATCCACCAAAAAGAGACTGGCTTGAGATATAAAGATTGAGAACGTGCATCTGCCTTCACCTCACCCAAATTTCCAGAAATGACCGAAAAGATCTTCTTTCAAAAAAGAAATAAATCCATGAAAGTGCTGGAAAATAAGAAAGAAGGCTATCAACTAAACAAAAATGTAAAACAAAAGACCTAATGGATGAGCTTGTGGAAGGGAAAAAGGATGAGGCAGAAGTAGTGGGACAGGCAGAGGCCCAGGGAGATCAGGGAGGCACACAGCTCCATGGAAGGCTGAAGGGACCCAAAAGTTCAGCACACTCCCACATCCAAAAGATGAGCTACGCACTGCGAACTCCAATCCCTGCCTTGGCCTGAAGACAGCAGATTTGGGAAACAGAGACTATGTCCACTGATGGATAAATGGGAAATTCAAAGTCCAAAGAGGATCTCATAACCCAAACTTTATAAACATTTAAGGAAAACCATAACCATAGAAAAAGGATGTTAAAATCAACAATAGAACTGACTCCCAAGAAAATATCAAGTTTATGAAACAAACAGAAAGAGCCTTTAAGAGACATGTATTTGTTTCCTCTGTGGAATAAGATGATTTCATCCATGAAACAAGAACAGGCTATTATAAAAAAAGAACCAGTTAAAGAACCTGAAAATGAAAAGCATGAACATTTAAATTAAAAAGAAAAAATTTCAATAGAAGAGCTGAACAGCAGAATGGACATAACTAAAGAACTATTTAGCAAGCTGGAAGAATTAACACATCAATAAGAAAGAGACTGCTAAATAGAAAAATGGACAAAGGATATGAACAGACACTTAAACAGAAGAAGAAATCCAAGTGGCTATTAAACAAAGATCCTCAGCATCAGTGGTACTCAGATAAATACAAGCTAAACAACGGTGAGATACAGTGTCTGGCCATGTAATGGGAAAAAAAATACTGATCAACTGATAATCCCCAGTGTTGGCAGCAGGCTGGGGAAACAGCCTCATATGGTTTTGGCAGGAGCAAAAATTGGCAGGTCTTTTCAAATTGAAATGTGCATACTCTTCTATCCAGCAATTCCAGTTCTACAGATCCATCCTAGAGAAATACTTGCTCACTTGCCCAGGGTGACATATACAAGGATGTGTCTGCATCACTGTTTGTGATCAAGAAACACTGGGAGCAACATAAAAACCAAACCCATTTTCACTGAGTCAACTCCAGCTCATAGCAACCCTAGTGACCCACAAAAGAAGAATTACTGGTTAGACGGTGTCATGGATTGAATTGTGTCTCCCCAAAAATATGTGTATCAACTTGGCTAGACCATGATTCCCAGTATTGTGTGATTGTCCACCATTTTGTCATCTGATGTGATTTTCCTATGTGTTGTAAGTCCTATCTCTATGATGTCAATAAAATGGGATTAGCAGCAGTTATGTTAATGAGGCAGGACTCAATCTACAAGATTGGATTGTGTCTTGAGCCAATCTCTTTTGAGATATAAAAGAGATAAGTGAGCAGAGAGACATGGGGACTCATACCACCAAGAAAGTAGTGCCAGGAGCAGAGCACACCCTTTGGACCTGGGGTCCCTATGCTGAGAAGCTCCTAGTCCAGGGGAAGATTGATGAAAAGGACATTCCTTCGGAGCCAACAGAGAGAGAAAGCTGTCCCCTAGGGCTGATGACCTGAATTGGAACTTCTAGCCTACTAGACTGTGAGAGAATAAACTGTTTGTTGAACCCATCCACTTGTGGTATTTCTGTTATAGGGGCACTAGATGACTAAGACAGACGGTGACATGCATAGATACCAGGAATATCATGGGGCACTGACAAGGACACAGTACACGTGCTGACATGGAAAGATCTTGTTGGCATATTTTAATAACAGCCAGTATTTCCTGATAACATACACGTGCCAGGAATATTGTTTCAGCACTTTACACAGTGATAATTCATTGAAACCTACCAGTGACCCTAAGAAGTGAGTGCTATTATTAAGCCCATCTTACTGAGGCCCAAAAAGTTTGAATAGTTTTGCAAAGTCTCACATAGTAATGAAGTTGGGATTTAAAACTTGGCAGCCTGATTCCAAGGGTCATGTTTTTTAAAACTACATTCTATGATTTATTAAGTATTTTTTTAAACCCAGTTGTTGATCTACATGTAAAGAATTAACCAATTTATGTGAAAATACCAAAACTATGTATTTCCTGATGTACATACGTTTCTATATTAATGCTCAGGAAAATACTCAAGTAGGTACATAGCAAGCTGATAATTCAAGGTAGGAGATTGAAAACAGAGTTGAAGTAAACAAGGCTTTCACTTTGTATTATTTGATTTTTCTTAGAATGTAATCATGAATTACACGTATAATTAAAATCTTAATTTATAAAAGCTGGCCACCAGATCGCCACATGGGTATAGATGATATCTCTCTAAGAGTGTTAGAAACCAAATTGGCACTTTCGAAAGTTTAGATGTGGGGGGAATAAAGACCTTCAAATACATCTGGACTTCCCATGGAGAAATCCTGTCCATAGCATCCCTGAGACATGGACATTGACCTTTTGCTTGTACATGTCCAGGGACAGGGAGCTCATCACTGCTCAAAGCAGCTTCTCTTGGACAGGGAAGGCAAATAGCATAGTCTACAGAAACAAGCACAAGCTGTAGAACCAAATGGAATCACGGGATGGTGCAAGCAGTTAACACGTTTGGCAGCTAACCGAAAGGTTGGAGGTTTGAGTACACCCAGAGGTCCCTCGGAATAAAGGCCTGGCAATCTACTTCCAAAAAATCAGCCATTGGAAACTCTATGAAACATAGTTCTACTCTGACATGCAATGGGCCACATTTAGTAGGAATTGACTCAATGGCAGCTGGTTTGGTGTTTTTTACTGGTAGAGCCAGATAGCCTAAGACTTAACTCCCGGTGCTAACCGTTCCAAGCCATGAAAACTTAGACAAGTTACTCAGGCTCCCTAGCTTTGGTTTCCTGATCTGTGAAATGGGACTAATAGGCCTCCCTACAGAGCTACCATGAAGATTAAATGAGATCATGGATTAAATGAGCAACTGGCCAAGGACTTGGCATGGAGAAGATCCCATTACCTACACCAAAAAAAAAAAAAAAAAAAAAAACCCCATTGCCATTGAGTTGATTCTGACTCATAGCGACCCTATAGGACAGAGTAGAACTGCCCCATAGGGTTTCCAAGGAGTCCCTGGTGGATTCAAACTGCCCACCTTTTGGTTAGCAGCCATAGCTCTTAACCACTACGCCACCTGGGTTTCCATTACCTACACAGTCCCTCCCTTTCTCTTTACTCTGGTTGTCAGAAGGCTCTTCCTGAAACAAGTAGAAGTCTGCCTTGCTCCTGCCTGCTCCAGTCTTCTGGGTAGTACTCTATACCCGGTGTCCAAATAAATGGGTGGTTTTCTATGTGCTTCACTTAGAAGGCCTGATCATGTGCTGTCCCATAGAGCTCTGGGGACACCCATGAAGAGAAAGTACAACAAATCCGAGAGTCTCTATTATAGCAAAAGTCCAGTAAGATGGTCAATTCACAAACATTTTCTACACCTGTAAAGGTGGGGGGCCAGTAGATATTGGACCTCTGAGCTACTACCACCTGTCTCTTGGAATCCCTGGGATCCTGCCCTTCTGGGTCACTGAGTTCCACTTTCAGCTTTCTCCCAATCGTGACTGATGCCAACAGTCAAATTACCACAAACGTTGCTTCTTACAACATTGTTTGGAAGACAACATCTTTCTCAACGTGGTGTCCACGATAGGGCGACATATAACAAAAAGAGCATCGGAGAAAAGAACTGTGCTCACCACATCACAATTAGAGAGCACTGTTCTGTGCATTACCTCATTTAATGCTCACAGGCTGCAAGCTGGGTACTATTTACATCCAGTTGCCCAGTTAGGAAACTGAAGCTAAGCAAGACTACATAACCTGCTCACAGCTACACATGTACTAAATGGTAACCTCACTACTAGAAAAGCTTCTCTAACCACAGGGCTGCCTGTTACACTTCAGCTAGCTCTATGAAGCTGCCAAGCAGCTAGAATGTCCTTGGGAGAAGCATTCTGAGGAATGAGTTGAAGGTGAGATGTGAGCTTGGGCAGAGGACAAATCAACTGGCCCCAAAGTGTTGACAGTAAGGAGCGCTCAGGGACTCAAGGTGGGAAAAAACCTGGGGACCATGGTTAGAGGTGCCCATACAAGGCAGAGGGTAAGCCAGAGAGAAGTACAGTGAGCCCCAGAGCCTGGTCTAGGCAACCCCTGGTCTCTGCTACCCCAAGGTTCTCTGTCTCTGTGGCCCTCAGAATCCCTCTGGGGAAGCCTGCACCCTCTCTGCCCCCATCTGTAGATGTCTCCAGCCTTGCTCTCTGGTTTGAGCTCTTTTCAGTTCAAGTTCCTTCCAGCTTCATCCCCAGCTAGAACCCCCAGGAGAAATACCTTGTGAAAATCAATGAGATCTGTGAGCGTGGCATGACGATTAGGGTCCACTCCCAGGAAGCTATAAAAGTCCCCAGAAGCATCCACGAGAAAGTGCTTGAACCCTTGCTGCGTGCGGTAGGAGAGGGTGTAACCCCAGATTTTCTCACTGACCCGAACAAGAAATGCTCCCTCAGTCATGTTCTCAAGCAGATCTTCTGCATCTTCTCGGGTAATAATTCCTGGTGTTAAAAAAAAAAAAAGTCAGCAGGTTCTGCAACCCTCCCCACTCATCCCTGCTCCACATCCAGTGATCCACGGGCCCAGGGGCTGTCCAACCACTTCCTCTTTCCATAGAGGGGACACCTTGGCCCAGAGCAGCCAGCTGTGGGCCTGGGGGCAGAGTTTCCACTAGAATCTAAATTTAGAAGTTGTCCTCCAAATTAGGCCAAATTAATCTGGATTAACTGGGTAAGCAAGGAATTAGTAACGAGCT